CTAGTTTATTATGTAACCACTTACCCTTCTTTTACTACAAAATTTATCATTATCTCAATTGTTTCATTTTTACATCCACCATAGACCCTTTAGGTACTTTCTCTCTAATCACAACCTCATTTGAATTATTTTTCTTAGTGCATTTTCGTTCAAACAAATGTATTGCATTTTATGAAATTAAATTTTTTTTAAGGTACACAATTTATCATCTTTACTCCTTTTTATATTTTTATTTGTTATTTATTGTTTGTTACATGAGAATGTCTAATTATCAATTTTGAGAGTTCAATTATGTAAACTCGATAGTTTATTAGGTAACCTAACAAACTTATCTTGTCTTTTCTCTTTGGTTTTTAATTTTGTATCATTTAAAGAACTTTTCTTATGCTGCACAATTTTTTAGCCTCTCAACAATTCAACTAGTTCACTATTACCAAGTTTACTCAAATCTCCAATGTACTTTCCCTCTTAACATTTGAAAAAATAATAAATGTTGTGGTTGTCTTTAAATTTCAATTATGTGTAATTGTTTAATCCTTTATCATTACTTGACATTTATGCAATTGTTATGTGATACTTTATTTTAATATTTATATAATTATAATATTTTTTTCTTGAAATTTGAAATTGAAGAAAAAAATGTGTCATTTTGATAATCCTTGTAATATATGTTTTCTTTGTTGTGTTTTCTTTTTGTAAGAAAATTATTTATGTAATATTTGGAATAGTAAGGGAGCGATTGTAAGACACTTGGTATACTTGTTATCTGATGGGGATAGGGATGAAATTCAAATTTCATACCTAGACGAGGACGGGACAGGTATGAAATTTTACTTAGAAGTAAGTATGGTCAAACTGGTACTTGCCCGTTCCATCCCTGGTTTGGACTTTCTGCACATGGTGCATATCTTGAGTTGTCTGCACATTGTATTTTCTGATTTGTAAATACTAAATCACAAGGAGTGGGATACTAGTAAGTAATTTGAGTTGTTTGCAGGATATCTTGAGTTAAAATGCTCATGTTGTTAGGTACATATTAAAAATGCTAAAAGGGAGTTTGAGGGAACAATAGGAGAATTGCTTGCTCAAACTTATAATCTTACTGTACAGGTTCTTCTGCTGGCTGGGGACGGATTGATGATGCTGGTGTTGTCAAGGTATGAATAACTAATTTCAGTTCGTAGAACCTCTAGAGTTTCAGATTTTAGTTTTTTCTGATATCACAAAGTTCAATTAGAATGTAATGAACTCGCTGAAATAGCAATTTAGGGTAATTTAGGGTCTGCCATCTTCGGGCTTGACACAAAATCCACCAATTTGGGGCTGAAATTTAACTTGTTATTAGAAAATAGGTATGGCAAGGATGAGCTCTAGATAACTTGGTCCTTTAGGCTCTCAAACGTTACGAGTAAATTAAGCCCAGCTCAACTTCAAAATTTAGCTCAAGGATTGCCCAAGTCTTATTTTTTTTAGGAGTATTTTGACCATATTCCCAACTGATGTGGGCATCTTGATACTATGTCATGATCTAAATATTATTAGCTGGCAAATCAAGTATGATGTTTTACAGGTCTATTTCTACTGTATTGTTGATTTGGGATTTTTTGTAATATTGCTTCTTCATTAGGTAAAGGCACCCAGATGTTTTATGTATAACGTGCCCCCTCATACAAGATCTCATTCAACTTTTATTTTTCTATAACAAATTCAATTCTAGTTTTGCTTGTGTCTTTGTGTTTTTTCCATGGTGTATATCTGGTGGTTTTGAAAAAACATTTTTGAATGACAATAGATTTTAAACATATATGTAAGGAGGAAATCTTTCAATAATATCTCTCACTGTGCTTCCTTGGCCACACGTAAAGTAGGAACTTCTTTGGGTTTGAGCTTTACATATTTTCCAATCTAAAGCATTCCTGTGTATATGGTTGCTTGGTGACCACTTAGTTGGGCAACTCTCATTCTGTAATAAACCATTTTATCTGTTACCGTAATCTTTTGAAAAAATAAATCTTCTAAAATAAATAATAAATCCTTTTATCTTTTGTTTAAAATATCTATTTATCCTCGTTTGTTTATTTTCCTAATTATTATAATTTCTAGGACCTCACAAGTTGGGTTATCCAGTTATTTAGGCTCAGGTCTAGTTTGTAGCCCATGTTATTCCTCTGTATAAATAACTGAGAAATTCATTTTTATAAAATTGCATTTTCCTTTTTCTCAATTTCCTTGAATTCTTTTGTTACTGGATGATGAAAGATAGTGTTCCTTGTACTAGCTCTCTATTTTCCATGTAGCAGGCCTATCTATAGGAATGTGAAGCTATAGTTATCACCAAACATTAAACTGTACTAGGTTTAAGTTTCTGGTAGACAGATATCATGGTACTCTATGATAGTGTGTGAATTTGTTGGCACCTTTTACCTCTCCTTTGCCTTTTTAACCTCCTTTCACCAATCATCAGCAGTGACAACTTCACTGTCATCAGTTATAATTTTGATCTCTTGCTCCAAACATTAAAATTCTGAAATTTCGAGATGATTTTGACTAGAAAATAAAAACAATTGAATAAACTCTTCTCCTTATCTTAAAAGACTGGAATCCTCTTTACATACAATCTACATTTGTTTAACAATGGCTGGAATAACCTGGGAGGCTTACCAACTTTTGCACAGGTTTACGAGATGCTAACTGGTGTAAGAGTTGAAGGAAAACTTCAGACACAAAGGAAAGACACTATGTTACGTTCTCTTCCACCAGAGTGGCCCCAAGATCATGTTCTTGATGTACAAACACTAAAAGAAAGCAATTCAAAGATTTTAGTTGTATTAGATGATGATCCGACAGGAACACAAACTGTTCATGATATTGAGGTATTAACAGAATGGTAAGTTTATTTCATTTTCTTAGCTATTTCTATTGTCTTGGCAGAATCAATGCGAAAGGTATCTCATACCATGCTACCTCAAACCAAACCACCAAAACACTGATTTTTCTTTCATATTGTGCCATTTTTAATCATTTATACAATTAATAATAATTTGTCATCATGAGATTGGGATTGAAAGCTAGATCTTCCTGAATAAAATCGCAAGTTGTTACTCAATTGGACATGTTTCACTGCAGGACTACTGAGTCACTGATTGAGCAGTTTGGGAAAAGTCCAAAATGCTTTTTCATTTTGACAAACTCCAGGTCACTTAGTTCCGACAAGGTAAACAGGAAAAATACTTTTAATTTTTTCTCTCTTCTGTAAGGATTCTACTAATAACCATGGGTGAAATATTGAACAACAGGAAAAATACTTTTATTTTTTTCTCTCTTCTGTAAGGATTCTACTAATAACCATGGGTGAAATATTGAACAACTCTATTCAAGTGTAAATAGGCAACAAGTGTACGAGAGATATTCTGTGTTAGGCCACCAGAACAATTTGTATCTAAATTGCTTTAGTGATACTATTTGTATTTGGCCACCACAACTGAATCAACCAAGCTCCACCACTTGTCATATTGTTGCCCAGGAAATGGAAAAGCTTGTCGTTGAAGTACAAAGAAAGAGTGTCATCACTGAAATGCAATATTTGAGCTGAATAAAGTTTTGAACTGAAATACATACGACACCTTAATTTTAAGCACCAGCCATAAATTAAAACAATCNTAGAGAAGATTGGGAGAAAATATCCCTTGTGTGTTTAGCATACACATAGGGTAATTTATTTATATTGTAAGATATGGGTCAATGCCCTTAATACAAAATAGGCTGAGCCCAAATAACAGAAAACACACAACTTAACATCTAACAAGACTCAAGAGAAATTAACCCTATACCTAGTTTTCTCTATATTCAACATAATCACGCCGTCTTCTCAATAATTCTGAAGTCAGTTTTTTTTTTCTTGATAACTTTTTGGTCTATTTGTGATGTTGGTAATCCATTTTTTTTATATTATGGTTGTGTTCATGTCTTCTCTACAATTATGTGTTCATGGCTATTTCAAAGGATTTTTTTTGTATTGTCTCTAATTCTTGAGGATTGTTTATCCTCTTCTGGTTTTATTTTCACTTCTCTCCTTGTGTTACGTTATTCTTTTCTAAAGCATGTTCATAGATTTTAATAGAAAATTTACCTGCTAACCTTAAGAAATGTCTTTTGTTTCAGGATGTTTGAGAATCGTGGCCAACACATGATAGAAAATGATTACACACCATGTTCAGCACTTGATATCTTTGTGAAGGACATGGTAAGATAGTATATTCTTCATTCTATTCAGCAGGGACACTTTATTTAAATATTGTACTGATATTACTTTAGTAATATCTACTATTGCTATGCTACTCATGTACAGGGAATTGTTACTCGTGAATCATCATCATGGAAAGTTCCACTTCAGCTATCAACTATTGCTCACCAACTATATCTGGCAGGTGCTGTATATTAATTTGAATCTTAATGATGTATACAGTCTAATGTTTCTCTTCAATTCAACTTGCTACTGCTGATTTTAATAGACAGAAGTAAAAAAAAGACTTGAAGTTGATCATTTCTTGGACAGAGGATGGTGCATGTAGGATCTTTTTGTTCATGATCTTATTTTTAAATGAACATATTATTACTTAAATTGATATCATGTTATCACAAGTAGTTGAACATTATGACAAATTAACTACCTCACAAATATTATTCGAATCCGGCCTCTATTTTGACGAGAAATCCCAACATTGATTGGATAAAGGTATGAGTATAACCAATTTGAAATCGTGTATGATTACGGGAATGAATTTGTATATAGCTGCCCTTTCATTGTTTTAAACTACTAAAACACTTCTAGTTTATTATGTAACCACTTACCCTTCTTTTACTACAAAATTTATCATTATCTCAATTGTTTCATTTTTACATCCACCATAGACCCTTTAGGTACTTTCTCTCTAATCACAACCTCATTTGAATTATTTTTCTTAGTGCATTTTCGTTCAAACAAATGTATTGCATTTTATGAAATTAAATTTTTTTTAAGGTACACAATTTATCATCTTTACTCCTTTTTATATTTTTATTTGTTATTTATTGTTTGTTACATGAGAATGTCTAATTATCAATTTTGAGAGTTCAATTATGTAAACTCGATAGTTTATTAGGTAACCTAACAAACTTATCTTGTCTTTTCTCTTTGGTTTTTAATTTTGTATCATTTAAAGAACTTTTCTTATGCTGCACAATTTTTTAGCCTCTCAACAATTCAACTAGTTCACTATTACCAAGTTTACTCAAATCTCCAATGTACTTTCCCTCTTAACATTTGAAAAAATAATAAATGTTGTGGTTGTCTTTAAATTTCAATTATGTGTAATTGTTTAATCCTTTATCATTACTTGACATTTATGCAATTGTTATGTGATACTTTATTTTAATATTTATATAATTATAATATTTTTTTCTTGAAATTTGAAATTGAAGAAAAAAATGTGTCATTTTGATAATCCTTGTAATATATGTTTTCTTTGTTGTGTTTTCATTTTGTAAGAAAATTATTTATGTAATATTTGGAATAGTAAGGGAGCGATTGTAAGACACTTGGTATACTTGTTATCTGATGGGGATAGGGATGAAATTCAAATTTCATACCTAGACGAGGACGGGACAGGTATGAAATTTTACTTAGAAGTAAGTATGGTCAAACTGGTACTTGCCCGTTCCATCCCTGGTTTGGACTTTCTGCACATGGTGCATATCTTGAGTTGTCTGCACATTGTATTTTCTGATTTGTAAATACTAAATCACAAGGAGTGGGATACTAGTAAGTAATTTGAGTTGTTTGCAGGATATCTTGAGTTAAAATGCTCATGTTGTTAGGTACATATTAAAAATGCTAAAAGGGAGTTTGAGGGAACAATAGGAGAATTGCTTGCTCAAACTTATAATCTTACTGTACAGGTTCTTCTGCTGGCTGGGGACGGATTGATGATGCTGGTGTTGTCAAGGTATGAATAACTAATTTCAGTTCGTAGAACCTCTAGAGTTTCAGATTTTAGTTTTTTCTGATATCACAAAGTTCAATTAGAATGTAATGAACTCGCTGAAATAGCAATTTAGGGTAATTTAGGGTCTGCCATCTTCGGGCTTGACACAAAATCCACCAATTTGGGGCTGAAATTTAACTTGTTATTAGAAAATAGGTATGGCAAGGATGAGCTCTAGATAACTTGGTCCTTTAGGCTCTCAAACGTTACGAGTAAATTAAGCCCAGCTCAACTTCAAAATTTAGCTCAAGGATTGCCCAAGTCTTATTTTTTTTAGGAGTATTTTGACCATATTCCCAACTGATGTGGGCATCTTGATACTATGTCATGATCTAAATATTATTAGCTGGCAAATCAAGTATGATGTTTTACAGGTCTATTTCTACTGTATTGTTGATTTGGGATTTTTTGTAATATTGCTTCTTCATTAGGTAAAGGCACCCAGATGTTTTATGTATAACGTGCCCCCTCATACAAGATCTCATTCAACTTTTATTTTTCTATAACAAATTCAATTCTAGTTTTGCTTGTGTCTTTGTGTTTTTTCCATGGTGTATATCTGGTGGTTTTGAAAAAACATTTTTGAATGACAATAGATTTTAAACATATATGTAAGGAGGAAATCTTTCAATAATATCTCTCACTGTGCTTCCTTGGCCACACGTAAAGTAGGAACTTCTTTGGGTTTGAGCTTTACATATTTTCCAATCTAAAGCATTCCTGTGTATATGGTTGCTTGGTGACCACTTAGTTGGGCAACTCTCATTCTGTAATAAACCATTTTATCTGTTACCGTAATCTTTTGAAAAAATAAATCTTCTAAAATAAATAATAAATCCTTTTATCTTTTGTTTAAAATATCTATTTATCCTCGTTTGTTTATTTTCCTAATTATTATAATTTCTAGGACCTCACAAGTTGGGTTATCCAGTTATTTAGGCTCAGGTCTAGTTTGTAGCCCATGTTATTCCTCTGTATAAATAACTGAGAAATTCATTTTTATAAAATTGCATTTTCCTTTTTCTCAATTTCCTTGAATTCTTT